GGATAACAGAAATCAAGGGAAGAACGTTTGCTGCCTGTTGGGAAACCTCTTGTCCGTCCTTGTCTTTTATGCTCTTCCCTTTATTTAAATTTCTTTACTTTTTCCTGACTTTTTCAAGCACAAGATTCAAATTAAACGGCAAAGAACACAAGATTAAACGGCAAAAAAGAATACCGTAATTAACGCATCAATCGAATAATATGAAAGTTAATTGATGAACCTCCCAGTCCCGATATGCGTTAGGTGAGGGCGGAAGGTGAACCGAAAACCACGCGACAGACGCGAGCTCTCATCAGTAAAAGAGTGTCGCTGCTGCCGATGCTATCTGTGTCGTGATGCGGGTCGTTTGTTGGAGTAGCAGAGTCTATCATGTTTGTATAGAAGCTTATTTAGCCGGAAACTTAAAATATTAGCCTATTGACATCCGCAGCCCTCACCCAGAAAATTGAAGCGGGTGAACCCACACTACCGAGAAAAGCATTTAATAACAGGAACATTGCTGCGTTGCTCGGTTATACCCGTTTGTTACACTGGCAGCAGAGATATGAGAATAGTGTGTTTCACTTGTTTCAGTTGTCCTGCCAACGAACAGTTTGCGGATCGTAAATAGAAGAGGCTCTCTCCTCATCGGAGCGTAGTGGAATGCTTCAAAGCAACACCACCTGTTCAGACTCCGACAAACGCACCCACACCATGGCAGAGTAAAGGGAAACATTTGCTGCCGGGGAACTCAATAGCACGGTAATTGCCAATTCAGAGTTAACTTCTCTTCATGCGAAATATTTATACTACTGCAAAAGTTAGAAGTAAAAAAAAAATGGCATTGAACCTGCGATTTTAGAGCCCACAGTACCAGTATTATGTTATCCGGGCTGGAATTCGTTGTGTTGATGAATTCTCACGCTGGTAAACCGACACATCTATTTTCAAAGAAACAAATGTTTAACGTAAATAGTGCGATTCACCCGGAGACAGGCATTTGTCGTGGTAATCCATGCTTCCCAACTTCTGCCTATAGAACAGACGACGCGTCCCCACGAGCGATGATTTAAATGTAGGCTCTACGCCGGTAATACGATTCGATCCTCACTGAAGCACCGAACGAACGCCACCGCACCATTTTCCGCTAAAATTGTTTTCCCACCGATACTAGGCGACAAAATAAACGCGAGAACCTACACCGTCTCGCGCGCGAACGTGGAGAGTCGATGGGGAGGCCGTGCTAAAGTGAACTCCAGTTCACTTTAGCGGTGCTTCTATCCCTGCTTTGATGATGATGATGATAGCGCGACAGTAGCGCCACCTCTAGGTCGATCTCGAGGCCAATATTTTTCAGCTGTTACATTCCCAGGAACGCCGCAGCTTTTTGACACTCGAAGCACGATGCTGTGGTCCACCTCTGTAACGCCCCCCCCCCCCCCCCCCCTTTTTTTTTTCCATATATTGTTAGGTTAGGAAGCGAGCTGCTTGTGAATTATGGACAGCTGTCAGGTCTTTGGTATGTCTTTCGCTTCCTTGTACTGTGCAACATATTTTCTGCCGTACCCGAACAGGCCGCAATTTTGAGAGGGCATCTGCTAACATAATTTCTTTATCCCTCTTCGTGTAATTTTTTTTTTTTTTTTTTTACAGATTGTTGTTGTATTTTCGAAGTATAAAGTGCTTTTAGCGGAACTTTCTATCCCAAAACTTCTTTCCGTCGGTCCATTTCCCACTAAATATAGCGGGGAAAATTACGTCAAGTTTTCGACGTCACGGGATCTACACACCCATTCGGCTTCGCCGCTAAATTCAGGGGGAAAATTGACATATCGTGACCAATGCACCATATCAGTTTCTCTGCTAAATTTAGCAGGGTAATTGATTAAAATATGTACATATAGGTTCTTCACTCCCCGAAACGACTGCTTAATATCTTCTATACTCCGTTTTATACTTAGCGTGCAACGCTGTCAAAGCTACTGGCGCGAGCGTTAGGCTTGATCTCGTTGATCATTTGCACGCGTTCTCGAGCGAACAAAACCATAGATGAAGCCACGCGCTCGCGCCAGTAACTTTGACAGCGTTGCACGTTAAGTATGAAACAGAGTATAAACACATTAGAACTGCCGCTCCTTGTAAATACTGCATTCCAAGGCTGTGTTTGTGTGTTTACGGAGCTTATGTTTCGTTAAATTCGGAAGGTGTTTTTCGGAGTTTATTTTTCGCTGAACATTCGAGGTCTATCGGCGTTTACATATATATATATTTTTTTTATTATTTCCATTTTTTTTTTTAATTTTGGAGATTAGTTTATCTTTTCTTCTTCAAAATTTGCAGTATTAAAAACAAAACAAACAAATATCCGAACACAAAAGTCCACTAAATTCATAAGAAACTTGCCTGTATCAAAGAATACAGGTGTAGGTCTGGTAGCTGCGTTTGACATTGGCGCTCTTACCATCGGTAATACTGACTATCCCAGGAAGAATCTTGTGAAAAAGGTGTTGGTTCTATTAAGGTCAATCCTCTAAATAACTATAAAAACTCCGACCTAGTCGCTATATCATTGTCCTGTGCTCTCGCGCAATTTATTCTAAAATGCCGTCTTTCTTCTTTTCTATTTTTTTTATTGTGCAATATCAAAATTTTGAGTTTTTTTTTTTCTTCTGATTAATCCGAATTGACGAAAACTTGACCGGCAAATGTTTTTTTTTTTTTTTTTTAGATTTTTTTTTTTTTGCGGAACTTTTAATTCCGTGTTTTCGGAGTTTATATTCTTCAAAGTCGGAGGGTGTTCTTCGGAGTTTATTTTTTGCTGAAAATTTCGGGGTTTATCCGAGTTTATTTTTATTATATTCCCAATTCTTTGAGATTTCAAGTTTATTTTACTGCATTCCCAATTTTTAAGAATTCAAAAAAACAAAATAAATAAAGTCTAGGTACCATAACCCGCTGTCCTGAAGGAACCTTGACAAACTAAAAAACAAACCTTTTTGTTGTCAATAGTTTGAGATTTAAAAAAAAACTGAAGTTGCATCCTCTTGGGGCCACTGACCTTGTGCTCTTATAAAACTTATTTGTAAAACACGTACCGTATTTTTGTTCTTTTTATTTTCTCGTTGTCACCTTAAAATTCTGAGTTTTTCGGATCAGTCCGAATTGACGAAAACTTGACCAAAACTTCTTTTCAGATCTTTTTTTTTTATCCGAAAACACGGAGTTTTCATTATATTTATAGTCTATTTAAATTTAAAGACACAAGTCGCTGCCTTTTTCATTAATATATAGATACAACTGTATCTTTTTTATATTATTTGCATTCCTCTCAAGCATATCAACAATAAAATTGTATACTTAACTACTCGCGCACGAGAAGGAACATAAGAAACCAAAGGTGGGAAGCCCCATTCCCGCAGAGGCTGGTTGTAACATAAGAGACCAAAGGTGGGAAGCCCCATTCCCGCAGAGGCTGGTTGTACACATTTCCGTTTGACGCTGCCAAGTGTAATGTGATCTCTTGCAGCAGCTGGCGCCATCCATTGAGTAGACCTGGAACACCTTGCAACCTGTGTATACCATTCTGGAGGTTCACCGATATCTACTAGACGAAATCTTGCACTCTATTTAGGAGAAATATAGCAGGGTCATTCCACGCCAAATACGATCCAGGCCTGAATTCGACCCTCGCGGATTTGGTCTAAAAACATTTTATGTGTTATTGGTGATGTGGAAGTACCTTTTTCCAAGAGACGTGTGCTTCTTCTTTTTTTTTTTTACAATATTTAATTTTGCAGAAAACAAACGGCAAAAGAAAACGGTTTGCAGGTTTGAAACGAGACGGCGAAATAGGCAGCGTTTTTTTAGTAGGTCAGAATATCCTTCTAAATTATCCAATAGGTTTCGTTACGCATTTCTGAGAGTTTTTGAAGGGTGTTTATGCGTTAAACTTGTCCTATAAAGCTAGTATTCACTTTTTTTTTTATTAAAAAAACAGTATCGTGTGAAGATTTCACAGTTGCGTGTGTAAATAATGAAAGAAAAATATATTAAAAATACTTGGATACGGAAATTGATTTGTGTACTAAAATAAATGGGCAATATTGAACATGCATGAAAATACTCATTATGCAAAAAGAAAAAAAAAAACTCAGGTGGTCTGTCTAAAAATATATACTCAGCGTTTATAGATAGTCACACAACAAACGAGCAAGGTTAAAAAAAATATATATTTGTTTAAAGCAAGAAAAAAATAATTTTTGATTTTGCTATATTGTTTGTATTGAAAATATTGTGAAATACTCAGTTTTTAAAGCGAAAACCAAGAGGTGTTCGATCTAAAACTACATACTTTACACCTATATGTACCTTGTAGCTAGGGCAACAAACAAACAAAACTTAAAAAGGCTATATTAAAAAAGAAAAAACTTTTTCTTTTTTTTTTTAACATTGGCTTTCTATTGCGCCTATAGCCTCTCGTTGAACGTGTCTTTTAGCCCTTGGTCTTCTGGGAGTGTTTAGTGGGGGGCCTCCAGTCCCAAGAGAACGTTTAAGAAGCATTTCATGCTTTAGAAAGAAACATTCGCCTGGTGTGGTTACGTATGATTGCGACAGCGCCATCAATAAATGGCTGCTAGAGCTTCGCAGCCACAGGAGAAAGTTGTGCGGCCCGAGGGAGATGCGATCGCGACTCTCGGAGGAGGCAGCCTTTTCTTGGATCCCTAGTTTCCCTATAGCTTCCCTACCCCTTCTTTCCCGCCGCCTTCCCCTTTTTCCAAACCGGGAAATTGACTCCCCGAGCTAATTTCGTTGTACAAGTTTGTTTGTTTTTAGTTTGTTTCCTTTGGCCCCGATTGTTTTCCCCCTGGGGCGCGTTCCCTAATTAACGGGAGAACGGATTAACCGAAAGCGGCGCTCCCTTGTGCACACACACGGGTGGGGAAAAGGAGCCGGCAGGTAAAGGTGCGAGCGCTCCATGTCCCTAAAATGGTTCGTCTTTTCTCGGGGGGGTGTCTTCGCAGGCGAGCACGCTACAGCAACCGCAGCAGTCAAGCCCGTCTTCGACACCGCAAGCGACTGCCAAGTCTGCTAAGGTACGTTGGGGACAGCCCCTTTTTGTGTGTGTGTGTGTTCCCTTTCGTTGCGGTGGGTCGTCGGCAGCCGCAGTGACATCGCTCGTACATCGTTCAAAAGACCCCGCGGAGATCTCTGCGGACACGCCTTTAGTGACTCGGCATCTTTTGTTCGTACGTAATAAGTGCACGTTTCGAACCAGACAGTTTTCTTTTTGTGTTACCAATGTGAAATAATGGTCGCACTAGGAAGAAACATCGCCTCATAACTCTCTTCGCAGAATATCCTTTGTGTGAAGATGTATAAGCTGCGTGACCGCGACTTTAGTGTGTACTGTATAGACCAACACGCGGCCCTGAAGTCACGCAGCTGCGGTGGCGCTGTAGACGGCAGTGCGCATGCGCAGACTCTTCACGCGAATTTGGTTTCTGCGCACGCGCAGTGCCAACAGCTGGTCTGGGCAAACGCGGGCTTGTTTGTAAACAGCGTGTTGGTCTATACGGTGGTGAACTTCGTATACGTAGCAGCCAAAACAAGCGAGTTGGTCAATTAGATTCGGAACCTTAGCCTCGTGCACTTAATACCCTCTTTTTTTTTTTTTTTTTCTGTTTCACAATTTGGCCGCTAGGCTGCTCCAGTCTTTGCTGCGCACTTGGATAGGTGTGGTAGCTCGGTGCTTTTCTCATTCACTTTTTTTTGTTTTTTCCCCGCCGGGTGGTGTTGCCTCCTCTGGGGTGAGTATATGTAAAGCTAAGGAGGCACACTGATTGAAATTATTTCAAGTTCCGGAGTTATAGTTTCAATGCCAGTAACTACAGCATGCCTTATAAGTTGGTACGAAATTTTTTCAGTAACCGTGAATATGACTTATAGTTTCGGAGTAACGTCTAACCTAGTTTCGGGTCAATATTCTTTTTTCTGAACGTTATTTTGATACGTTTCCGTGTTTGAATTTCTATATGGACGCTTTAAAAAAACCACTGAAAAGGAGAAAAAAATATTTTTCAACACTTTAATTGGGACACGCGTGTCAAAAAATTAATTTTACGCAAAAAAAAAAAAAAAGAAACAGAGCAATATTGACGGCGCCAAACGCGATTTCGTCTGTAGTCATCTCCTTTCAACTTGTTTGCTCTCTCGGCATTTTTGGACGCGTGAAGGAGAGGTGGATCGGCTTGGCCATCACGTTGAAGTGGAGAGAGTGTATGACCATCTCGTTGAGGTGGAAAGAGTGTATGACCATTCCATGACGTCATGGACTTTGCGCGTAGAATTTAAAACAAACCTCGCGCCGTCAATGTTGTTCTATTTTTTTTCGCGTAAAATTTTGTTTTTGACACGCGTGTCCCCGCCAATCTATTTAAAACAAAAAAAAATTTCTTAGTGGTTTTTTAGACACGCGCAAGATTAGAGCCGCCATTGCCGCCGACCTTCTCGTGTCTAACGGAGACGCCGAGCCACTGAAGTGTGTGTGTGTGGGGGGGAGGGGGAGGGGAGGGGGGGGAGGGGAGGAAAGGTGTTGACAAGCCTCTACAAGGGCCCATGCTGGGGAAAAGGAAACATTAGCACCTGAAGTGGCAATAACCTGTCCTGCTGTGGTAATGATGGAAGTGAAGCAACCAAAATAGAAGAAAACACACAAAAAAAGAAATACGAGCCATTCCACTTCGTGAGGGTTGATGACCAGCGAAGCTGTGTAGCACACGACACAGACGTGACAGAGAATTTAGCGTATGCTCCATGAAAGTTGTGCAATTTAGCAGCATGGCACCTGCGTCTTTTCGGTGCGTTCTCCGCCCCGCGACATTTGTCGTCTTGTCTGGTTTGCCACACGCGCTTGTCGTCTTGTCCACGATCTTCATCGGCGGTGTGAGGCGCCCACCGCCGCCGCTGACATTCTCGGAGGCGCGTTGCTCTTGGGGAGTCTGGAGTGTACGCGGCCTCCCCATTATGACGAGAGGACAGAAAGGAAATAGACACATTGCTAAATTTCCTAAGCATCAAGGAGAATGCAGGGAAGGGTGTTCCACGCGCCGCATGTTTCGGCGTTTGCAGCAGTAACCGTTCTAAAGCAAAAGCCTAAAACAAATGACATGTTGCAGGCGCGTTCGTCAACGCTTTATTTTGGTTATTTACTTAGAATCTTTTATCCGGGGAAGGCGTGCGCGTGCGGCGCGTGCGGCGGTGCGAGCGTAGAGTTTTTGGTCACGCACTCGACGTATCCACGGAACCCTAGCCATAAACAGTTTCGCTGTAAAATTGAAAGTCGGTTATGTATGGCAGTGCCCATGTACAGCTGCCTGAAAGGCAGACTAAGTTAAAGCTTTATAAACCCACACAGCAATTTATAGTCGTATTCGCCTGAAGAACCTTAGTGAAGAAAGTCCGGCTTCTTGCGGATCATTACTGATGTACTCCTTTATGTTGTGAATTCGGATATATGTGTGAGTAAAATTTAGATTGATTTTCGGTTTTTTCAAACGCTATAAGCGTCGCTTCTTCCTCCGAAAATCAAATCTTAATTCAAAAGCTACTTCGCGCGGCGTGTGAACAATGCGCAAAACTTCCTTCTTTTTTTCTTGGTGTGACAAGGAGTATTGGGCCTCGAGATCGACCTATAGAAGTGGCGCTACTGACGCGCCATCATCATCATCGAAACTGGGATAGAAGCATGGCTGCCCAACTGATCTCTATTGTAGTAGGCTGGATCGCGGATCGAGGGCCCGCCGGTGTGGCCACCGGCGGCCATTGCTTGAGAACAGGCAATACACGCAAGTCTATGGAAGAAACGCACGAAAGTAAGAATATTGAAGCATGTACGCTCTGCTCGGAGGTTTGTATTTTATGGTGTGCTGCGATCATTATGTCGGGTGTTTGGAGATCGAATCGGTATTCGTCAAACGTTCGAACGCCGATTAAAAAAATCAAACGTACCGGAGCACCTACGGCTGAGCTGGCAAGCTTGCTGTGGTAGTAAACAAAGGAACTTGCCGTCGATGAGACCGTCCTCGGGGAAGCCCAGAAGTTGATGAATGACAAAGAAGTTCCATCTCGACAGCGGCTTTCCGGGGGTGAGCGAATTCCGCGTAGCAAAGCCTTCGAGCTTGTCGTCTGCTAAACCCAACTCAAAGAAAGCGCCACCGACTCCGCGGTAACTCTAGGTAACTCTCGCCTCATTGAGCTGCACTACAGCGGAGTCACTCTCGACCACAAAATATTTATTTGTAAGAACTGCGAGGGCTGCCAGTTTTAATCTTTGTACGCAAGCTATTTGACGGGCTTATCGAAAAGCATCCCAAAAGTTTCAGTGCCGACAACAATTTAGAAACGGGGGAAACTACAATTTTTCTCGTTCTTCCCATAGAGTCCCATGCATTGGCTGATGTCAATCAATGGCCACCGGTGGCGACACTCGCCCTCAGCTGCCGAAGCCGCGGTCCGCGATCCAGCCTACTACAATAGAGACCAGTGGGCTGCCCCGTAGGCTCTCCATTAGGGGTGTCGCGAACTTTTGTCGAACCAGATTTTTTGGTCGAACTTTCGGGGTTCGACTGGGTCGAACCGAATCGACGAACCTTCGAAACTGCTCACCAGATTCGACCGGTTCGACTTGTGGCCAGTGTGGCCAGCCCTTGATACAAGCATGTCTAGGTTTGGAATTTTTTTTTTTTACGCAAATAGTTTTTTTTTGTTTTGTGAACAGCTGCAATTAAAAGAAACTAATTCTAATCACTGAAGAAGTTAATAACTTAATTTTTAGTACTGTATTAACTGAAATAGCCAATCAGCGCTGCACTTAATTCATCTCTTAACCATTACCATCCAATCTGAAGCCAACTGGCCAGCCAGTCGCGCATGCGCACACGAGTCGAACCTCAATACAAGGTTCGTCGAACTTTCCACTAAAAGTTCGAAAAAGTCGAACCTGGTCGAACTCGAACCGCGGCCGGTTCGCGACACCCCTACTCTCCATGTTGCACGTTGGCATCGTAGAGTTATTACAATAAACGCTAGAGGCTCAGCTGGCGCTAGTGTCTACGGGGCTTCCGGTTACAAATTGAAGCAGACAGCAACCAGTCTATTTTTCCAGTCTTCCTGTGTATTCCTATGGGAAAGCGTACGTGATATTTCTCTCTTCGCCAGGGAATAATAGAAATCAGCGTAGTTTCTTTACTCGTAACGGGTACTATGTAGCTTTATTCACATTATAAAAGTGTAATTTATTTAATTAGTATGTTTTTTTTATTAGGCGATTTCGTCAGCAAAAATTGAGGCCCAGGTATATGTTACACGGCATGCTATGTCAATACAAGCTATAAATTCAAGCACAAAGAACAACAATCGTATTTATTTCAGAGCAACAACACTCGGTTACTGCTTTATTTTGATTATTCGTAGACAATTTGTTACTAATCTCCATGCTTCGTTCTTGTCGTCTGTTTTGATAGTTTGATTTGGCAAATATTAGCATCCTTCTGGTGTTTTGTCTAGCTGATTCACTCTGTGTGCTTCATGGCATTGACTATATGCGTAAATACGTGCCCTATAATAGCAGTCTGCAACGTCAACACGTATTATACATTGTGGGGATTCCTGTGGTTTCCCTTCCCCGATGGCTGTGATAACGGCTGCGGGTCGGAACGCTCGGCCTCCTTCGCCGTGAGCTCCGACCCGAAGCGGAGGGTCCGTGTCTTGGAGGGCCCTCCCCTCACTCTCTCTCGGGGGAACCCCTTTCCGTTTCCCCGCTCGGATGCGGATCACGGCTGACAGGCGAGGAGGTTTCGCCTCTTGTTTTCCCGCTTTCGGGAAAGGGACTCGTCCGGGTGACCGCGAAAGAGGTGGGACGTGTATCGGCGACTTCTCCGATGCTTCCCTAATCTTGACTCTCCGGAACCCTGCGTCTGGCCAGGTAAGGATCCTTTCTTACCTTGCCGGCGCGGGGGGCATTTTGGATGGGGACATTGTAGTTCATTAAGAGAGTTTTAAATAAATGCTCTTGGACTCTGTCCTTACTCTGGTA